CCTACTAGCTCATAACTTGCCCCTGTGGCCTGCTGACCAGATGAGCTGGGACACAGGGCTTCATCTCCAGGGTTTTGTTCTTCATGGCAGTGCAAGGGGAATATACACCTCCCAGGTAAATGAAGTTCAGCACAAACCTTAATACCAAGTGTACACTTGAACTGTCATCTTTATCAAGGGAATTACTGTCCCAGACACCTCCTCCACACTGATGTTTCTCTTTTCAGCAACCCTTTTTATATTTCCAGATCTTTCCTATCCGAGGAGCACTTTCCTGCCTTCCAGCCAACACCTCAGGTAACTGCAAGGTGCTTGCTTTAAGAGGCCCCAAAAGCCAGCACAGCACTACATACCTATGATCCCAGAACCTCTGGAGTTGAGACAGGCGAATCTGCAAAAGTTCAAGGCTAGCTTGGCCTACATAGTGTCTAAAATGAGGGAAACACAGGGGAAAACAAAAGCAGAGTTGGAGACACAGCTCAGTTGGCAGAGTGTCTGTCTACCATGTGTGTAAGCTCTGGCACTGTATGAGCCAGACACTGCATGTAACCCAGCCTCCATCCCAGCGTTCAGGAGGGGAAGGCAGGGGGCTCACCAAGCTCATCCAGGAAAACATGAGGTATGAGAGACCATCTCACAGAAATGAACAAGTGCAGGTGAGATGGTTCAGTGGTTAAAATTTTGCTGCAGGGGTCTAATGAGCCCAGCTCAATCCTTAGGACCCACAGTGGGGAGCATGGACTCCTGAAAGAGGGTCCCTCCCTCCACACACCTTATCATGGATACAAGTGGGCACACACACAAATAAATCTTAAAAAATTAAAAAATACAAACAAAAACCAAATACAATAATAACAACAAACAAAACAAAACAAAAACCTCAAACTCAGGACATCGAGAGGGCCCTGAGAGTACAGGTACTTCACCAAGCCCAATAACCCAATAATGAGTTTGAACTCATATCCCACTTTGTAGGAATCAAAAATCACCCCCTACAATTTATCCTCCGGTCTCCACAGCAATGTGCACCTATACACATACAAACAAAATAAATGAGTAAGCAAATAAATAAGTAAAAATACAAACAAATGTTTTTTTAAACCCCTCAAATGCCAAGGTTCTCGAGCACTGTGCCTTTGCTTGTGTGTGTCTTCAATCTTCAACCTGAAACTCAGCCAGCACTTACTGAGTACCTATGTGTGTTATGTGAGTCCCTGGGGGATAGAGATACCAAGCTAGGAGTTTAAAACAACTTTGAAACCTCAGCACTCAGAAGAAGGGGATGGCTAACTCCAGTTCCCAAAAACCTACCAGAGCACCCTTTGAAAGAAGGATTGCCTCCACCTCAAAGGCTGGCCTTCAAACCCAAGGTCAGGCAAGAAACAGGAGGACCAGGACCAGCCCCCAAAGTATGACAGTATTTCAGTCCCCTAATCCCAAGAAGGTAGGAACCCCAGGATGATGTCCTTGTACACTGGCTCAAAGCTATTATCTGCTTGATATAGGTCACTGTGGCTAAATGTGGCTAAAGATACATCTACTCTTTCTCCCCCATCCTGTTTTGTTTGTCACATAGCCCAGGCTGGCCTTGAATTTGCTATGTAGCCCATAGTGACCTTAAACTTCTGATCCTCTACCTCCTTAGTGCTGGGATTATAGACAAGTACTACCATGCCTAGCTTTCTGGAGTGCTGGGAATCAAACTCAGGTCTTCATTCATGCCAAGGAAGCACTCCACCACTGATCTACAGCTCTAGGCTCCCCCAAAGGGCCTGGAACTTATGTTATAGCCCACAGTGGCCTTCACCTCCAGAATATCAGGGTTACAGGTGTGTGCCACTACACCCAGGTTCCCTCTTATCCTTCCTTGCAAGAGGCAGTTGGCTGATCAGGAAGTGTGGACCAAGTGCCCAACATCAACTCTAGCCAGCCAGCCAGAGCTGATCCTTGACTTTTCACGGCATCTCTTCTAGTTTCTTTTTCTCCTTAATCATTAAATCATACACAAGCCAGATAAAACACAAGACACACCTCTACTTCACATGGCTGTTCTTTCCCCCTCCTGCAGAACTTTGCGGTAACACTTCAGCTTTACAAGAACATGCAACAGAAAGAATTAGGGAACTCAGGCAATCCAAAACCAGCTAAGTGATGGTTTCGCATTTTTAAAATATATATAATGTAAAGCAGTTCCGAGAAAAGTGAAGTCACAGCCTAGGTTGCTTATTCTCAGTTCTTAGAAAAGAGCATTTCAAAAGGGAAGCTGCGCTGGGCGGGCACACAGGCTGCCGCCAGAGCCGCGGTCTGGCGGGTGCTCGCTGATAAACTGACTTTGATTTGGCAGCCCGAGAGCTGAAGCCTCCGGATGCATTTTCATTTGGCGCTGTCAGGGAGGAAACGGCGGCCCAACAGTGAGAGTTCTGAATGTGCAGAGAAACCACAGGCTCAGCTCTGTGCTGGGGAGGCAGCCTCCAGCCACTGGCCACTGCCATCTGCAGCACTCCTCCCCCGACTGCTGGCGACCTCCAGCCAGCCCACACTTTTCCATTGGGTGTTATTCACCAGGAGTTAGGTGAGGACACTGTTGGGAAATTGTCAGCAGCGTCCAGTTCTCCAGTGGAGAAGCAGACTAGGCTTATGCCACACACAGCTCAACAGCTGCTCTGGGGTTTAACAGTTTGGAAACACCATTTTACTAAGAATCCTATAGCTGAGATCCTGTGGCCTGCATCAAAATGAAATTTCAGACCGGAGTTCAAGTGGTAGAGTGTTTGCCTGGCATGCAGGAACCTGGCCTGGAGTGATACACACCTGCAATTACAACACCACAAGTGCCTGTGGGAGATCAGGGCTTCAAGATCATGCTCAGCCTCAGAGTTTGAGGCCAGCCTGGTATATGAGACTCTGTCTCAAAATAATTAATTTTGGGCTGGGGCTACAGCGCAGCACTAGAGTCTGCCCAGCATGCAAGAAGCTCTGTGCTGAAAAAAGTGTGTGTGTGTGTGTGTGTGTGCATTGTCTGTGAAAGTGTATGTGCATGTGTTGTCTGTATGTGTGTGTGTGTGTGTGTGTGTAGTCTGTGTCTGTGTTATATGTATGTATGTATGTATGTATGTGTGTGTGTGTGTAGTCTGTGTCTGTCTGTCTGTCTGTATGTATGTATGTATGTATGTATGTATGTGTGTGTGTGTGTAGTCTGTGTCTGTCTGTCTGTCTGTATGTATGTATGTATGTATGTATGTATGTGTGTGTGTGTGTGTAGTCTGTGTCTGTGTTGTTTTTGTGTGTGTGTGTATATGTGTTGTCTGTGTCAGTGTGTGTACAGTCTGTGTGCTTATGTGTCTGTGTTGATGTGTGTGTTGTCTGTGTATGTGTGTCTGTTTATTAAACTCTAATGTGATCAAAAGCAACTAATCAAGTGTCTCAGACAAGGAAATAAGGAAGAAATAAAACCAAAATAGGGCTGGAGAGATGACTCAGACTATACTATTTTTGCAATTTTTCTATAGCTCAAAAGATGTACACTGGAGCTGGAGAGACAGCTCAGCAGTTAAGAGCACTTGCTGCTCTTTCAGAGGAACTGAGTTGGGTTCCCAGCACCCACATTGGCTGCTCAGACCTGCCCATAACTCCAGTTCCAAAGTGCAATGTCCTCTTCTAGACTCACACATGCACATAGACACAGACACACAGACAGACAGACAGACAGACAGACAGACAGACAGACACACACACACACACACACACACACACCACACACACACAAAATAACAATAAAATAAAAGGGGCAGTGGTGTCACACGCTTTTAATCCCAGCACTTGGGAGGCAGAAGCAGGCGATCTCTGTGAGTTTGAGGCCAGCCTGGTCTACAGAGAGTTCCAGGTTAGTCACTGCCCTAAAAGTCCTGTGCACCACCCATGCGTCCCTTCCCCCAACTGCTGACTGCCACTGGTCTTCCTACAGTCTCACTTTGCCTCTTCCTGATGGGCTCAAGGCCTGGACACTTTTTCTATGGGGGGCGAGGGAACAGGAAAGGGGCAGGTCTAGATCATCTCTGGGTCTCCTCTCCTCCCTGCCTCTGTCCCTCTCCTGCCAAGTGGCTCCTGAGTTTATCTGATGGTAAGCACCACCTGATACTCATGGCAATATAGGTTAGTCAGGGTGTGGGGGTGCCACATCTGGCTAGCCGTATTTTAAAACACTTGTCTTAAAAAAAAATCAATGAGCTGGGGCTCAAGTTCAGTGACAGTGTTTGCCTAACACACACAAAGCCTTAGATTCGACGGCATTTATGGGAACACTGAACTTTCTGTACAATTTTTCTGAAAACCCAAAACTGTTTTTAACAAATCATAGGTCAGGCTGGAGATGCACGTCAATCAGTAGAGTGTTTGCATGGCATGTACAAAGCCCAGTTCAATCCCTGTCATCTCAACATTCAGAAGTGGAGGGTCAGAGGTTCGAGGCTCATGCGTTACATGAGACCCTGTCTTTAAAACAAGCAAACAAACAAGTAATCAAGCTTATTTTTAAAAACTAGCCAGACAAAAATATTACTAGTGTAGAATATCAGTTATCTGGGCAAAGTGCTGCAGTGGTACAGAAACATAACATGGACTGCCTTGTTCTTTACCATCCAAATATGAATCTAGTCTGGTGATCAGCAAAAAGCCAAAGCCCAACACTGATACAACCCCAACAGAAAGGCATTTCATGCAGAAAGGTCAGGACTCTAAGCCAGTAGGCTATTTGCTCCCTGGCTGTCTCTCCACAAAGGTTTTGAAGCAGAAGTACTCGAAAAGTCTGTTTCCATCTTGGATTGTTAATTTCAAAAGAATTCTGCGACTATTCCAACTATTCTCAACAGCTGGTCTCACCTTCTGAATCTAAGGACACAGACAACGAAGAATGAACACACTGAAGCAGGGAGAGCCCTGTCTGCATGGGGCTGCTTGCTGGCACCCAGAAGCTGGAGATGGGAAGACAGGCCACAACGCCATTCTGTCCTCATGTCCCATAACTTTAATCCCACTGGCAAGAACTGAAATTCAGATTTTGCATCTTAAAACGGGCTACAATCAAGAAGAAAGTGTTATCACTTGACACATCAGGGATAGCAACATGAGATCTCCATGTGTTTTAGAGAGAGAAAAATGAACACACATGAGTGACAAAAAGGGAAAAGCTTGGAGCATCATCTGCTTCTCATCCACAAGCAGCCAAAGCCCTGGGAAGTGAGGAGGCAGAGTTAACAGAAGCTCCAGCTCCCAGGGTGTGCACATCTGGCTCCAGTAAAGCAAATCTCTTCATGAAACCTTTGTGATGTCCTGGAGCCCCACTTGGTGGTAAAGGACTTCAGGAGGAAAGCTGTTCTTAAAGGGTCCCAGCTCTAAGGGATGCTCCTGTGTAAGTCTTCCACCTCCAGTTCCCACATGCTTTCGTGGACGGGATTGTCAGAAAGATCCGTCATCTTCACAGCCTGTAGGCAGGGCTCAGGGCTACAGGCCTGAACCACGCCCATCACCATCACATACTTTCCTGGGAAGAGAAGAAAAGGATGTGGTGATCTTCATACTAATAAGGCAGGTGGGGACAACCTACAAGGCCTTGATCAGAGAAGGAAGATGGAGACAAAAAGATTATCTAGGGGCTGGGGGATACAGCTTGGAGGCAAAGCTCATGCCTAGCATGCACTAGGTCCTAGGTTTGATCTTTAGCCCTGCAAAGTAGGGAGAGGAGCTGAGGGGAGGACCTCAGTTCAGATCCCCAGCATCCATGTAAAAAACATGGTAGGGTGTATGCATAAGTGATCAGTGTCAAGGAAATGGAGACAGGAGGATCCTTGGGGCTCTGTGCCCAACAATCCTAGCCCAGTCAGAGACCTCTTGGTTCAGCTCGAGACCCTGTCTCAAAAAATAAGGTGAGAGCAATCGAGGAAGACACTTGATGTACCTCTGGCCTCCACATACACAGGCATGTGTGAGCACACCCCCACAGGAGAACATGCACACAGCCACACAATCCTGACAGTAGACACCAAAACAAAGGCAGTCAGGGATCAAAACAGATACATGCATGAACAATGAGATCAGCGCTTAACCTGGAGGCCGACATCTGCATCTTATTGGCATCTGCTTTTCATATGCTAAACACAATAGGCAGGCTCACTCAGCAGTCATGCCCCTGGAACGCAAGCAACTCTGGGTCCCACTGAGTTATAATTAGACACACCGCCCCAGGCAGGGGCAGAAAACCCAAGCTTTGCTCTCAAGTCTTGTTCACTGCTCAATGCCAGAGCGAGTGACTGGTCTCTGTTCACAAGACGGGCACTCCCGCAAAGCTACTTCCTGACAGCCGAAATGTAAATCCAATTTTCCCCCCACACTGCCAAAAAAGTTAGGCCAGGCATCAGCACACCCCTCCTCTCACCACCCACAGCACACTGTGCTGTTGTTCCAGTCCCTGCCACCCCCAGCTTTATCCCAAGCCTCAATGGGCACACACAGGGAAATCAACAGAACAGGCTGCCACTGGATGGTCTGACATACTATTAACCACAACTTCCCATTCCCTGGGGGAAGTGCCTCTCCTTGAAAGCGCAACTTGGCTAGTCATAAACCACACAAAATGCAATTGTGTAAAAAGTCCCTTGTCACGGCAGGAAAGACATGCAGCCAGTCCCCTGCATGACTGGCTTCCACCAGCAGGATGAGTTTGCACACAAGCCCAGGATCTCAAATGAAAGAAGTCAAGCACTGGGGCTGCCCATCCCTCCCATGTTTTCCCTGACCGGGCCCATAGTAGGATCTTTGGATCTAACCCCAGGTCCCATACTGGCCATCCTCTGCTCTGAGCCCCTACTGGTGATAAAGACAAAATTCTTAGAATTACAAGGCTGAAGACCAGGGGAAGCTGACAGACTTGTTCTGTGAAGCTTGGAGGAAGACACTACACAACACGCTGGGACCAGTGCTGAGCCCATGCACCCGTATCCCTCCATTTCTCCTTCCCCACAGGACCCTGCCCAAGATCAAGCCTTCACCTTCTCCTGTTTGGGCTACAGCACGGCTCAGAGCCCGTGTCCTCCCAACCATAGTCCTGCCCAAGAGCCTGCCCATCACAGCACAGTGTAAGCAACACCGCCTGCAGAATGAAGACCAGAGGGCAAAGCTCCCAATTTAGGTGTGTCTTCAGAGCCTGGAGAGAAACTGCTGGATGCCCTAGAGGCAGGCAGGGGCCCTGAAGCAGCAAAACAGCAGGCATCAAGGTCATTTAGCAAGGACAGCTCCTTCTCAAACTGTAGACTTTCAGTGCTGCCCCCTGGGGCCCTGTTCCCTGCCTCCTGGCCTTTGCTGCCCCCAGGGGCCCTGTTTCCTGCCTCCTGGACTTTGCTGTCCCATGGGGCCCTGTTCCCTGCCTCCTGGCCTTTGCTGTCCCATGGGGCCCTGTTCCCTGCCTCCTGGCCTTTGCTGTCCCATGGGGCCCTGTTCCCTGCCTCCTGGCCTTTGCTGTCCCATGGGGCCCTGTTCCCTGCCTCCTGGCCCTTTCTGCCCCATGGGGCCCTGTTCCCTGCCTCCTGGCCTTTGCTGCCCCATGGGGCCCTGTTCCCTGCCCCCTGGCCCTTGCACATGCTGTTCAAAGGAGTTGACAACCTACTAGTACACACATGAAGAATGTCCCAACAACCCAAGAGGGTTAGTCCCTACAGATAAGTACAATACAGCTTTGGGGGCTGCCTCCTCCAGGAAGCCTTCCCTGATCTCCCCTTGAGCCTTGAACATGTTTCCTTCTTCTGTGTCTAGTTCTGTATCTGTATAAATGCCAGATGAACCAACAAGCCAGAAGGACAAAAGTCTCTGTGCTCTGCAGCTGGAGGCCCAGGTCTAGCAGTGGCTAACACATGGCATGCTTTTGTTGGGACTTTTCTACTTCACAAACACTGAGGCAGGTACCATGAGTACCACTCAAATAGAAGGAAGAGCTGTCACCCCTGTACACACACCCTGGGCTCATCTACAATGGCACTTTGTGTTTTAGTGGCCTGTTTACTTCCCTGGTTCCTGGTGAGATGATTAATGAGCAAGAGGAAAGAGCATGGGCCCTGCGCCTGGGCATACAGGCTAGAGGGTGAGGCCAACAAGTTAAGTCCAACACAAGGACATCTGCTGGGTGCCAGGCTCACTACACTGTTAGCACCAGACTTGAGACACTGTCCAAGGCTGACCTCAAGGGGCATTGCCTAGGCTGGACACCAAACACCATGGAATGAGAGCAATGTCAAGCCTAAGTCCAAGGGCAGTCAACTTTTTCTGTAAAGGACCAGACTACATAAGTCAGGCTTTCGTGGGCCATAGGCCCTCTGTCACAACTACTGGACTATGTCATTATAGTGACACAGTGACCCTAACCTTTTGTAAATTACAAATACATTTCACTTCAATAAAACTTCACTTGCAGATGCTGATTTTGAACTGCATATAATTTTCACACATTGTAATTTTATTTTAGATGCATCAAAATATAAAACACAGGCCAGGTATCAGACAAACACCTTTAATCCCAGTGCTCAGGAGCACAGGCAGATCTCTGAGTTCAAGGCCAGCCTGATATACATAGTGCGCTCCAGGCCACCCAAGGCTACCTAGTGAGACTCTGTCTCAAAACAAAACAAACAAAAGTGAAACCTGGGCCAGTGAGATGGCTCAACAGGTAAAGGCGCCTGCTGCCAAGCCTGACAACCTGAGTTCAAACCCTGGAACCCACATGATGGAAGGAAAGAACAGGACTCCAAGTTGTCCTCTGATTTCCACGTAAGTATTATGGCACACACACATGCACACATATACCCTTACTCAGAACAGGTAATAAAATAGCTTTAAAGAGCCAGCATGTGTGAGAGCCAAAGCTATATTTTAAGTTTTAATTACTATGCCTTGGAGAGCCATGAAACAAAAATGCCTCTGATCTGCAAGCCCCCCTTGCCCAAGGACAGATAGTTCCTGAAATGCTGGAGGTTATTGTTTATAGGAGATAACAAGTCACATGTTTTCACTCTCTTAAAACAAGTTTGTTTGACCCATCTGCACCGGATGTGCTTGAGAACATGTAGGCAGGAGGTTCACAGACAGGAAATACATTAGGATGTTTGCTTTCTCCTGATTGGATGTAGGCTGGGGAGACATCAGGATGTACGCTTGCCCCTGACTGAACCTGATGGGAAATACTTAGGATGTTATGAACTGTGATTTGGGGCCATCTTCTAGAAGCCTAGAGATGGACCAGGCCACAGCCCATCCACCTGGTCAGTAGTTAATTAAAGCTTGCTTTAAATTTGGCTTTGAATTGTGGTAGTGGTCTTGTTTTCAATCAGTGGGATTAACACATGGTGGCACACACCTGTGATCCCAGCACTCAGGAGGCAAAGGCAGGCAAATCTCTGTGAGTTTAAGACCAGGTTAGTCTACATAGTGAGACAGCCAGGGCTACACAGAAAAACCTGACACAAACAAAACAAAGTTTTAAAATGTAAAAGTTGAGTCTGGAGACAGAGCTCAGTGGTAAGGCACTGAGTGTGGGGGACAAAGTACGTGTGTGTGTGTGTGTGTGTGTGTGTGTGTGTGTGTGTGTGTGTGTGTCTGCTTTTAGTTTACAGTCCATTTGAGTGTGCTCGTCCTAAAGTAGGGTTAAGACTGGAGAGAAGAGAGAGAGAGAACAGAAAAGGTAACCTAAATCTGAGGTCAAAACAGTCCAGGTCACACCCCTGACCCCGTCTGTCTCTAGACAGAATCCCCACACTCTCTGAGCAGGAAGAGAGTCTGGCCTGATTTCACAGAGAAGGACCACAGAAAGGCAGGCCTGGTGAATCCATAGCCTTCCTTCAGAAACCTCCTGATCTGGTGTTGAAGCTCCAGAGTCAAGTAGAGGCAGGCCCTTGTGTATCTGGGTCACAGCTGCAGCCTAGTATCTTACACAGGTCCCATGTATGATATGTTCACTTGACATCCTTGTCAGTGAGATGAGACTCCAGGCCTAATGCCTGTCCCTTAGAGTATCTGGTTCTCAGGACACCTAGGGGTCAGGCATTGGACCAGATTAGGGTCAAGCTGTCGGGACCAAGTCCAAGTACTGTAGTAGCTCAGAGAGCGGTCTGAAACCCAGCAATATCAATATATGAGAAATAAGTCCTGAGACTCAGAAAACCTGAGGGAATGGGCTTCAACAGAGCCCTAGGCAAACGTGATGATGATCCCTCAAGTGTGAGCAGCAGCTGTTTATGAATTGTGAACCACAGCTATGTTGATCTCATTAGGAAAGGTATAGAAAAGTGTCCCAAACCCCTTTGGGTAACAGTGGCTTTTCCAGATGTACGTCCATTTGTCCTGGGACATTAAAAATGTACAGACATGAGACTGGGATATCAGTTGGGAGATTGCTTGTCTAGTATGCACCCCCAGAACCACATGAACCAGGCGTGTGGCATATGCCTGTAATCCTAGCACTCAAGAGATAAAGTGAGAAGTTCAGGAGTTCAAGATCACCCTCAGCTACACAAGGAATTTGAGACCAGTCTAGACTACCTGTGACCCTGCCTCAAAATAAACAGAAAAGGACACACACACATTTCCTGAGACGTTATTTCTCAAAACATATGGGGAAAATGAAAACATCTGTGGGGAAAGAGCTTGTGACAGAGAAGCCAACAGGTCAAAACTAGGAGGACTGGGAGAGCTCGGGAACTTAGAGGTATTTTCACCGAGTTATTTGTTTACTATTTTTGCAGTCTGGGTTGAACCCAAAGCCTCATCAATGCTAGGAAGTGCTCTACCACTGAGTCCCACCCCAGGCCCTCTTGCCTTTTTGTTCTGAGACAGGCTCTCACTAAGTTGCCTAGGCAGGCCTTAAACTCACTCTTAGCGCTCAGACAGGCAGACAGGCTTTGAACTTTGCCATCCTCCTGTCTCAGTCTCCTAGTATTGGGATGACAGGTGTGTACCACCAGGCCAGATTGGAGCCTACATTTTTGAAGGTGGTAGCAGGTGTTGCAATCATCCGATAGGTCTGGGAGTCACCTGACAGGAGTTGGGACAGAAAGGGGAACGAATGCCTAATGCCTGGATGTGGGACCGCCCCGCCCCGGGGAGGGACAGCTCCCTGCAGAGCCGGTCTGGCCCTCATTACCTGGGAGCAGGCAAGGCCGGCCTCTAGGTACGCGCTCCAGGCCCCGCACGGAGAAGGC